AAATAAGCTGGAAGAGTTGAACTCGCAGTTGAGCAGAAGGGAAGAGGAGCTTGCATCTTTATTAACTAAGTACATTCCTGTTTTTTATGTGCTTCATTTATCTTAATAGAGGCTGAATTCTTTAATTTCTTTCGTTCACAAATTTCTTGCTACTTTGTAGTTATTTGGGGGTCAAAATTTATCTGTGAAACAACTTTTCCTTATCAAGTACGTTGTTCCTCAGGTCCGATGAAGACAGCGCGAACAATGTTTCACTCCAAAAACAGATCAGAGAGTTAGAATCACAGTTAGATGAAATAAAAGAAGATTTAGAAAATGAGAAGGTTTTGAAAGCTAGAGCTGAAAAAACACGAAGGGAGCTCAATGACGAATTGGAAACCTTACGAAATGAATATATTGATGCAACTGATAAAACCGCCGTTTCACTTGAGATCCAGAAGAAAAAGGATGAAGAATTACGAGACCTTAAAGTAAAATAAGCTTTATTTATTTTGCTTCTTATTACTTGGCACGGATGAAAATGTTTAGTCGTTATTTTAGCTCGCTCTTAACTCGGCTGTCTCAATTGGAGAAGCGAAAATTGAGGAACTTAAGCAAAAGTACCAGCGGCAAGTTGAAGAGCTTACCGAACAGGTATGAATCAGGTTTTGTAGCTTAAGTAAAGTTTTATTCATTTTTTGATAAGAAATGAGGAGTTTTTTCGTATCGAGTTGTTAGATTCAATTGGTTTATTTGAAATTTTTTGAATTATATTCAACACATCTAAAGTTCCTAATATAATTTGACGGTTTTTGGGAGCAAAAACGACTGTCACTAGGCTGTTGCTTCGTTCATGTCGAAGTATTTTTCAGATTGAACAGCAAAGACGTTTGCGAGCTCAAGTAGAAAAATCTAGAACAGTGCTAGATGCGGAAAAAACCGAAGTCGTGAATGAACTTACGGCCTTACAGACGGCTAAAGCAGAATCTGAAAAGAAAAGGAAGCAGGCAGATGCTGTTGCTCTCGAACTCCGAGCACGTTTGGCAGAATATGAAGCAAGCGAGTCTGATGCACGACAGCAGCTTTCTAAGGTGATTATTTACTGCGAGTAGTATTTTCCGCCTTCTACTGTTCAGGTTTACGAAATGGCGACAAATATTGTTTTCATTAAACGTTTCATCGTAAATATTACTGACTGCCTAGAATCTTTTTTAGACACAAAATGAACTCGAGTTGCTTACGAAACAAAAAGAAGATGACGAGCAAAACGTCTCGGCTTTGATGAAACGGATTTCCTTGCTGGAGCAGGAGTTAACGGAAGTGAAGGATCAGCTTCAGAATGAAACGAAGCATAAGCTTGCAACGCAGACTCGTGTACGGCAGCTTGAAGATGAACTTGCTGAGTCTCTTGAGTTTAGAGAGGAACTTGAGTTCAAGAAGGCCGACTTCGAAACGGTATGTAACTTATTTTTCTGAATACTGGTCTTTCCAACGTCGTACCTTTCGGGTGCGATAATTTTCGATTGTCATATGAATCTAACCTACTTGGTGCTTTTTTTAAAATGAAATTTCAATAATTTATAGCAAATAGAAAACATGAGAGCAGCTCTTGCGGAAGCTCGTAGGAAGTCGGATGAGGGAGCCTTGCAACAAATGGAAGAGTTGAAGAAAAAAGCTCAGAAGGATTTAGAAGGTGCACAGAAAATGTTGACTGAGATGGAAGTAGCCAAGGAGCGTGCGGAACGGTCGAAAAAGAAACTGCAGCAGGAAGCATGTCTTTTTTTCATATCGATCTTGATGGATGCTGATAAATTCAAATATATATATTTTGAAGCACTCGCGTAATATCTTAATAGTTGTTACGTTCTTGATCCAACAAGTACACTTTTCAGATAGAAGATCAAAACGTTGAAATCAACAACTTGAGGACTCATGCTCGCGACTTAGAAAGGAAGCAGCGGCGCTTTGACCAAGACCTAGCAGCTGAAAGAGCTAATGTACAGAAGGTCAGATGTGTTAGAAGTTCATCGCTTTACTCTGCTTTTATTTTTTTAATCAGTGCATCGTCTTTTTGAAAAATGATTTCTAGATGTGCAACGAACGAGATGCACTGGCTCAGGAGTCACGGGATAGAGAAACAATAATTTTATCTTTGAATAATGATATTGAAAGTCTTCGGGGTGAACTGGAGGAGTCTGAGAGAGCAAAAAGAATGTTGCAACAGGAGCTTGATGAGTCGGTACGAGTACATTCAAATTATCATTTTAGTTACTGAGGTTCGGAGTTTAGTGTTATGCTTGAAAAATTTCGATGCTACTTTAATGTATAGTCTTCGTTCTCCTTGAAATCAGAATTAAATCCCGACTCATGTTGTAGGTATCCACGAAGGATGATGTCGGCAAAAATGTTCA